TAAAGTATCAAAGGCATAACTTTTATGGGCTTTGTTCGTGTTCTTCTCAAGTAGCCCGAAGTTAACATTGGCTATTAGTTTTTTGATTCTGATGTCTTCGGCTGGTTTGTCCGAGATGTCTGTCTTCCATAATTCCGCTGTGATCTTCCTATAATCCACCTTGTATACTCTGGATGGTTGCTTATAATAAAGAATCTTACATTGCTTCACGAAGTGCTTTAAAAACATACCATATACTAAAGTGTAGGCTTTATTGAAAAATAAACTCCGCTTGGTGGGCTTGACCAAGTAGAGAGTGAGATCGTGAAAATCTGCTACGTTGCCATTGAAGGGCTTCCAGATATCAAACCGAGTGAATACCGGTATCTCGGCGATCTTATTAAAAGCAGAAGTGTAAGCTTTTCTTACATCTATCTCCGTAGTCACTTCTGGGGTATAAAAGTATTTGTCGTCTTTGTCTGTCTTAGGGTTATATAAATAATAATGTTTATTTATTTCACCCGTTGGGGGGATTGTGCGACACTCCTTAAAAATCTCTACATCCACTTCGTTGTAATATGACTTATGAGTGGGCTTGAAGAGGGCGGTGTTAAAATCAAACATAGCTTTAGACATCTTATTGTAGATCTGCTCCGTTCTCACACAGATGGAGCCATCTATAGAACTATTCACTAAGTTCTGGGTCTTAACCTTGTATTTAATCTCTTTGTGGGTCTTGCTGTTTATCTTGATCTTAAGCTTGAAGTTAAGTTCAGATACGAACCCTGCACTAAATCTAACCTGTGGCTCATACCCTGCCTGTTTGCTAAGATAAAAGAGATGAGACAGATCGTAGCCATTATACACCAATGTGTATTCGCTATGCTCTGTGTATTTCCGGATGTCGTCTAGGGATGTGATCATTTTACATTCCACCGGCTCTTCCTTCTCGTTAATGTGATAATCTGAAGATGCCTTAACAGATATATTATAATTACTGCTTTTTGGTATCATCTGCTTCAACATATTCACATTATCACTTGCCGTGTAGATGTGATTGTTCTTCACTATAGCGTATAAGGCTGGGATGTGATGATTTCTCTTTATTGGGTCGCGTTTATAAATTAGAGTATTAAAGGCATCATAAATTCTCACTTGCAAGTTAAAGTGTTCAAACACCTTGGCCATATCTGTTATGGATGCCCCTTTTGTTTTAAAATCTTGTTCTGTCTTATTCATGATTTTTAGGATGGCTTCTTTTGGCAGTTTGTTCTTCTCTCTCTTGTGATCTCCCATAAGTGTATCCTTATAATAATCCGTCAAGGTGTTAAACCAACACTCGTTCTTAACATAATGATCTACTTTAATGGCTTCCTTAAAGGTCTCATACTGTGGATCTAGTGGTGTCTGAATACATCTGTGATACATACTGACATTCACAGTGTTTGTTAGATCTTCGTCTTGTGGCTTGAAAGCATCGGCGTTATCTACCCTTTCGGCATAATTAACTTTAATACAGTCAATGTAACCTTCTGCGTAACCAACTTCGGCTTTAAAACTGTCATCTGTCACTAATAACAACTTGAGCCTATAGAACGTCTTAGAATCGGCTTTCTCATATTTGAATATGCGTCTCCCCGCTATTTTTTCTAACCACTGTGTTGTATGCACATTAGCAGTTAAAGGGTTCATGTATACTGGGACATATTCCCTACCCCTACTGTCTCTAAAAGACGTTTTTAATACACCTTTGTCTGCTTCTGTCTTAAGCCTATATAAATGAACATTGATTGAATATTTTTTTGGTTTCCTCGGGTTGGTTCTTCCCGTTCGTTTGTTGTCTTCTTGTGCTTGTGCCATTCTCTGACCTAGTTGTTCTTTATCCTTGTGCTTGTCGTATATTTTATCATATTCTTTTTCCGCTTTAGTTTTTTCTTTGTCTGTTTTTGCGGTGGTGAGTTTCCTAATTAAATTGTCTGCTGTGGTGAATTGGGCGATCTTACGATCTGAATATAAGTTAATTATATTTTGAACTTTTGTTCTGGTGGCTTGGCTGATGCGGTTTCTTCTGTTGTTATAAAATGTTTGTAGTGCTTCCGTATTACGCTTAATGGCTTTGGACATATACTAATATAATTAAACTATATATTATTAAATCTTTAAGTGAAATTTTCCAAAGATGTTTTTTAAAATATTAAATATTTTTTAATATATAGAAATATGTCTAAAGACAAAAAAATAATATATAGTATAGTATAATATGAGTAAAAACCCCGAGGATATGACAATGGATGAAATCAAAGAGCAACTCGCCATATACAGCAGATTGTATTACAACAAGCGCAGAAATGATGAAAAATATATGCAAAAGAAACGAGAATCTGCACTACGACACAATCAGAGAAAGAAGATCAAGGAGTATGAAGAAGCCAACAATATCAAACTGAACCCCGATGAGTTGACAGAAGAATTGCTGTCTGAAATAATGAATGCAAAAAAGCCTTTTAAAGCAAAGCGCGGCACACCCAAATATGATATGAGCAAGTTCAAGATCATAAAGCCGATGGATGACGAATGATGATTTAATTTAAGTATTAAATCATTATTTTCTTTTGTTTTTATATGAGTGAGAAACAAAAAATTATTAATGATGTGTATTTTGATCGCGCGGGGTTTGGTTCAAAAAGCCGGACTTTAGAAGAAGCACGGGAGAAAGATAAAACCATCACAATGTCTGATATTAACGAGTTTTTTAGGAAGAATGTTGATCAAAAGCGTAAGCCCGTCGGTTCAAACAGCTTTGTCGCCCCGCATTCAGCATATGAGTATCAGTTGGATTTGTTTTTTATCAACGACTTGAAGGATCAAAAATTTAGAGTAGGAATGTTAATGATTGATATATTTGATAAGTTTATGCACGTGGTGGCAACTAAAGGCAAGAAGGAAGAAGATTTAGCGAGTGGGATGATTGAGTGCTTACATAAAATGGGGAAGAAGCCCAAACTAATTTATACCGACGACGAGGGAGCAATGAAGAAGGAGGCAATACAAAAGTATTTACAGGAACAGAACATAGAACACTATAGAACTAGGGCACACGCAAATTTCAGTGAAAGGGCCATTAGGACGTTCAAAGATTTGTTATATCGTAGAGTTGAAGCCGATCAGAAAAAGGGTAAGAACAATATTCAGTGGACTGATTACATTTTTGAAATATTATTAACATATAACAATAAAATGAAACATTCCGCTACTGGTTTCACCCCAAAGGATGCCAGAAAACCGAGCAACGAATTAAAAGTTAAACTGCATTCAAATATGAATGCTAAACGAAATCGGGTATATCCTGAATTAAGTGTTGGTGATGAAGTTAAAATATTTAGGAAGAGGAAACCCAATGAAAAAGAACGTGTATCAAATTGGTCGCAAAATATTTATACCATAGAAAGAATTGATGAAAAATTGGGTCAACAGTTTTATTTTGTATCAGGGAATGATAGGGCGTATTTGCGATTTGAGCTGTTAAAAGTTTAATTTTCTTTTGATAAGACTTTTCTTAAGAAAACACCTAAAGAAATAACACATATATATTAACAGGGAAATGTTCAATCAGAAAGAACAGGATGAAATCATAAATGATTTTTTGGATGTCAAGGTTAGCGATTACATCAGGGAAAGTAGGGAAAAGCACCTTATACGAATTGCCACTGCCAGAAAATATTATTCATAATATCTATGCTTTGCTTATCGGTGCTGGAAGTGCGAAAAGACCATAGAAAAAGAGGAACAATTAGAAGAACGACTTGAAACGATTGATTTATGCTTATACGATGTTGAAAAGTTTATTTTCAGCTTGGATCGTTTTGTTTACGATGTATGGTACAGTAAAGCGTGTGATCCCAAGCATAGCTATGAAGACATACAACATGTTTAAAAAGTTATTTGATACAGTATACAATGAAATATAATGTTCATACTACAATGTATGATTTCAACAAAAATCACCAGTATTGAATAAACCTGGGCTTGACTTAATGGATTGATTTTCTGCTTGTTTGTGTGTAGAATTCTCCAATGTTTTTGTTGTGATTTTCGAGCTTTTAGCGTTTGAGGCGCTCCTAAACCCTAACCATTCGCTGACTTGATTTTCTTATTTTCATTTTGATGTGTTTTTTGTTGTTCGCTTGTTTGGTATAGGTTTTTCCAACGTTTGTGTTGCGATTTGGGTGTGCTAATCGTCTTGAAGCCCTTGTTTTTGAACATTTGGGTTTGTTTTTACTATTTTTTAAAATGTTTTTGTATACAAAACAAAGCACCGGTGGAGAAGCCGTGCACGGGGATGCATGTAGAACCAGCGTCGTTTCTCCTCGCGCAGGGGAGTGGGAGTAGGTGGGATTAGGGGTTGGGCAGGGGGAGTTGGCACGCACTCACAGCTGATAATTTTTCATTTGGCAGAAGTTGCCCAGTCTGTGGGGGGATTGGCAACCCCCTACGTGCAGGTGGGATTGGTAATCCCCGAAACGCTGTTCCAACCTCCTAACCTAAACCCCTAAATTGAATAAGAGACCCTTCGAGGTTTAGGTTGTGTAGGGGTGTTAGGGGTCTGGGATGGGGATGATTTTGTTCAGGCATTCTGGAAAGTGATTTTTCAGGTATTCAGATGGTGGGATGCCTAAATGTTACGAGATGTGTCGGTAGTGGTGCTAGCCGTTGAAGCACACGGAAATTTCCACAATATTGTGTTAGGTTTTCGAGGTTCATGGGTTTAGGATCACAACATACGAAAACCCACGACACAGGAGCCACGATTGCTTAGTGGACCCGATTGCTTTACCGCAGCTAGATTTTTTTGCAAAGTTTCGTCGTCATGGAGAAGTGCGTGTGCAGCCAATGTAGTAACATGTTTGGCCTTTAACAAGAACTTGCAATTCGTAGTTCACAGCTTGCTAACAAGCAGTATGACACTTCGAGAATAGCACCACCAACATGAGTGCAATGTCGCAAGAGTGATCGTGTGAACGATGTCTACTGGTTCTGATCGAAGCTGCTTGACTGGTTTTGGGGATGAGGCCTCGTTGGCACAAATCTTTCAGACTTTCCAGGTGGAAGCGCGACAGAGCGCAATGTTGACAGTCGACAAAGGCATGGAACTCGGTGGCGACGTGTCAAGCTATTTCAGGGCGTTCTGTCTGTGCAACCACGAACCGAACGGGAAGAGCATGGAGCAACTCAGAAGAGATGATGCCGAGCTTCGCGGGCTTTTTTTAAGGATCGGGAACGTCCATGACAATGAGGCAAACTTTAAGGCTTGGCAACACAGAGCTTCTTGCTGGAGCTTGGGGGTGACAGAGGTCGATTTCATCACCAGGGAGCTGTCACAGGAACAGGTGGAACGTCTGCGGCATTTGACTGGCATATCGGGGTTCGCTTTGGTCAAAGAGAACGACCCGCCGAAGCACCTGGAGGTCAGTGGTTTCATATCGCTACTGCGGCGTGGCGGCTGGTTGGTTGAATGCACAGCAGCTAACCGTGCAAGTGTTGACAAGACCAACAAGATGTTGCAGCTGCGTCGCCTAGCCCGGAACCGAAGGCTCGGCGAGGGCATCATGCTTATGTTCAACGGTTCGGATGCCAACCAAGCTCCAGTTGATTGGTCAAGACTTCCCAGGAGTGCGCTTGTTTTGCACTTCACTCAAGAGGCCATCCTGAGGTTGCCTGCAACAATAGCCCGGCAGGAGGCTGAGCTTCAAAGGCGGCAAAGGCAGGAGTCCGAGCGGCAAAGGCAGAAGGCCGAGCGGCAAAGGCAGGAGGCCGAGCGGCAAAGGCAGGAGGCCAAGCGGCAAAGGCAGGAGGCCGAGCAGGAGGCCGAGCGGCAAAGGCAGGAGGCCAAGCGGCAAAGGCGTCGGGCCGAGGTCGCAGAGCGGCTTCTTGCCCAAATGAACCAGAAACAGAGCCAGCCTTGATCCCGCACACTTTGCTGAAAAAGGGCGCGCTCCTCTCACCACTGCCTAGGTCTTAGGTTCGTTATAGAGATCGTGATCTTGTGTCTGGCCTTGGCTATCAGAGTCGTGGGGTTGGATTTGGAGTCTTAGGGATAGGGGGTGTCTTGGGTTGAGATTTTAGGGAGGATATCCTAGGTGTGGTGTTGGACTTGAGATCTGGGGCTGGATTGTCCTAGGATGCGACTGAGTGGTTCCAGACACCTAACTGGGCAAGGATTGTAGTTACAACCCTTAACCCTAGACCCTGAACCAAATTCTACAAGCACCCCCTTGCCCCTTTTGAGTAATAATGCCACCTTAGAAATTATGAATGGGGTTATGGTTATTCCTATAATTGTATTGATAATGGGGTAGTAGTAGTGATATATCGGTGAAATGTAGGGGGAGTATAGGAATAATTATCTAATGGGGGAAGTAGTAGTGATATGTGGGTGAATTGTAGGGGGGAGTATAGGGATAATCATCTAATGGGTTAGCGGTGGCATTATTACCCAAACTGGGCAAGGTCTACTCTGACTAACATCGGACCCAAACGGGTAAAGGAAACGAGGAAACGTGCAGAGCACGAGAGGCCCCCAAACGGGCTTCGGCGCCTGAACCATGCCGGAGTTACCCCAACAAGAAAGCCTGTTTGGAAACATTCCTTCCTTCCCGGAGAGCCGTATAAAGGGCTTCGTATTATGAGTTAGTCTGTGTTCGTTACTTAAGGGGTATTGGGCTCTCTGGGTTCTGCATCCCTCCTGCAACTCCAGGCGATCGGATTCCTGGGGGCCTTAGCACATGGTGCTGGCCAGCCTTTGACGCTTGGGCTCTGTTGCTCGAAAACCCTATTAAATTCTTTTAAATTCTACAGTTTTAGACCCTAGAGCTTCAACCAATCTACGGCGCAGCGGATAGTAGCTGATAGTGGGCTAGGAGCCGCAAAAACATGAAATATTGAAGCTACAGAAGGTATTGGACCTCACGTGCTCAATGTCTCTGTTGTTTCGTTAGCTTTGGGTGTCTCTGGGAGTTTAGGGTTCAGGCTGTGAGGTTAACGTTTCAAGCAGCCTTCCAATCCTGAACTTCACGCTCCTGGGGGTTTAGGGGAGTCGGGAGCACCTCGGCCGAAAGTTTTGGGGTTGCATGAGTCTTAGACTGGGAATTATTTAGGAACTTGGGCATCTAGCTCTTGGCACTCGGCAGTTCTGGTTGATACAGCGGCTGGAATAGTTTTCACAAGATCAAACACTAGGTTCCTCTTTTGGGAGCCGGTTATGAGGACGATTGCAGGCCAATGCCGAACATTCGATTCAATGCTTGTCTGGGACGAGACTGACAGGTTGCACAGGTGCCTCGCGGTGACACTAGCCTAACCCCTGCGCCCTAAACCGAAAGCCCTAAACCCTAAACCCGAAACCCACCCTAGACCCTAAACTCGAACCCCGAAACCCTAAACCGAAAGCTCTAAACCCACCCTAATCTCGAAATGCGAAGCCCTGTAAACCCTAAACCCTAAACCTATCCTAATCTCGAAACCCGAAGCCCTAAACCGAAAGCCCGAAAGAGCTCTCTTGTGCTAAGCGCCTCTGGCAGCTGAGGATGTGCCTCATGCTGCTTGGCGGACCGAGGGCAGATTTTGGTTCAGACTTTACAGGTTTTGGGGTCTACGGCTTTAGAGTGCTCTGGGGGTGCTTTGGGTTGAGGTTTTTGTTTTTTAGGTGTTGGGGTTTACATCGGGGTATTGGAGTTCGGTGTAGTTGGAGATTGAACTGGACTTGCCTTTCAGCCAGCTGCAAGTAAGGTTCGGTGACCTCATCGATGGCCTGGGCTCGACCATGTTCGCCGAATTCGACACGACTGCATTTGTGAACATGTCTGCTGCTGACCAAGCTTCCATGATGGAGGCGACCTTCAGGGTTTGGGATTTGGGGGTTTCCGAAAATAGGGGACCCTAATATAGTACCCCAAATAGTAGGATCCTTATTATAGGGACTCCAAAATAAGGTACCCCCAATTTTCTGAAACTCCCATTTAGGTCTTAGGGTCGGGTTCAGGGTTATAGATAAACACGGGCATATAAATGCAGAGGTCTCTCTGAAACAATTGCTGCGGTCAGGCCATGTCGCAACAAGCCAATGAGTTGATGCTGGAGAGCGCCACTTGACGGTTTACGGTTTAGGTATTGAACCCTGAACCCTAAATCCTAAACCCTAAACCGCTTAGCTTTTCCTTGGGGTTGAGAGGTTTAAGGTTTAGGGTTTCTGTCCTAGGGTTTCCTTGAACTTTACAGTTTTAAGTTTTGGTCAGGCTGTTGGGGGATTTGCGGCTCTTTGGGTTTGGGGTTTAGGGCTCGGTGCTTACCCTGAACCTAAACCTTAGACCACACACGTTCAAGGGCCATGGTAGGAATTTTGTCTGTTTAAAGGTTCGGCTCTGAGACATGGCGATTGCACCGAAAGTCCCAACACCCGAAGCCCTGTGCCGTTACCCCCATGCCCGAACGCAATTACACACTCCCAGACCGTGAATAACGGGAAAGCCCGAAAAAACCCTGAACGTCGAACCCTGTTGAAGCCCTGAACCCTCAACCCTACACCCCAAGAAATCCTCCTCCCCCCAGCAAAAATCAGCGCTTCGCATCCCCGAAACCTTCAGCCAGCCCTTTCGAGGTGGGCGACACCGCCATCAAGTTCATCTTGCAGCTTCGGCTTCGAACCAAAGTATGGCGATTCAACGAGTTTAGGAGCTCCTGCAAGGGGATTTCTACAAAGATTCTAGGGGTTTGGGGTTCAGGGTGTCGGGTATACTAAACGGGCTGTATAATGGTTCAATAATCAGGGGTGCTTTCAGGGTTAAGGGGGTTATGGTTTCGCCTTCAACGCAAAATCCCAAACTGAAAGTTCGATTCCCCCGAACCCCTTGTGAACCCAGACCCGTCTGATGTGCACAATCTTATAAGGCACTCTCAAGCCGTAAGACACCGCATAGCAGCCCCACAAGCTCGTTCTTCAAGGATCGGCTGCGGCGTATGCGCTGCAGCCTCCCTGCAGGGCTTCTCTTTCGCTTACTTCGTCGACAGCCAGGTGCCCCGTGGATACAGGGTTGGGGTTTTTGGGGCTTTGGGCTTTAGGGCTTTGGTCAGCTGAGCATCGTGTAGGACTTCAGGGATACTGGAGTTTACAGCGTTTTACCACTTTATACAACACACTGCAGAAGGATGTAAAACATCGACGCACTGTCACAAGCATTCATGCCTAGTGCAAGCATGCCCGAACCACCTGTATTTGCAGCGTTTCGTTGCTTTACATAACACACTGCAGGAGGATGTTTGGCATTGCTGGCACTGTCAAGAGCGCTGATGCTCTGTGCGAGCACGCGGAACACATCGGTAATTGTGATGAAGATGATGATGATGACCACTACAAAAATGGTAATCGCTGAATGGATGGTTGTACAACTTACAATACTGTCCGGCAGGCGCTACAACCTGCCATTATTTGGAAAAATGGTGCTATAACATCGGTTTCTCCCACAGTTAAGAACGCAAGGTAGCACGGCGCCCTATTCGCCCGCACCCTTAATAGAAAGCTTCCAGCATTTTGCTTTTCAGGATTTTGCTAAACCTACAGAGGAAGCCCACAAGAACTCACCTGAACAACTGCAAGAGCTTACTCGGGGGGGGGGGTGTGTGTGAAGCCTGACTACAGTATTATAACTAGATGTATATAATTTGCAATATTCGTCCATTCGTCCCCAGAGTTCCTCATTACAAAAATATTCACGTGTTTGCTTTTTCAGGGTGTTGGGTCGTACACCTTTGACTCACAAGCAAAGGAGCTAACATCTAGGAAACCCCATCAGCAAGCAGATGCGTCAAGGTGAAGAAGATGAGGCCGATGTATCTTGGCTGCGGGGCAGGAAGACCCCTCTGCAAGGAATTTGCTTTTGGCCATGCCGTGTTTTAGGGTCTTTATAGGTGTTGCCCTAAGATAATATTCGAGCCCATTTACAAGTACACATTCAGGGAGGGTACACGGATCATGCGTGAGTGCATGCCCTAAACTTAAACCCTATCCACGTGCATCTCGAACCTGCTATCCCCGAACCCTGTTTTGTCCGCCTTGACCGCATCCATAACCCGGCGACACATTGACGTACAGCATATTCTACGAATATGGGCACTGCGTATTATAGGTGTGGCAGAGCTATGTCGTAGTAGTCGTATCTTCAGCAAAGTAGCCCAAAGTTCGTGTCGTCTTTTGCAAGGTACTTCGATGCAATGCTCCACCAGGATGTTGGTTGGTTCGACACCCACAGCCCGGGCGCTCTTGCAGGCCATGGGACGGGGAGCAGTTTCATGTGTTGTACATGAGCCAACAGGGTAGTGCCCTGACAGTTCGCGCTCTGAGCCCTGAACGCTGCATCTTCAACCCTCTCGTGCTCAAGATTGAGGTCCTCGCAGATCCTTCACACGTTCCGAGAGAGCAGCCACTCGTTTCATTTTCCAAAGAAAAGACAATCTTTGTAAGGATCCCTCTACTACTCTTGCGCAACAAAGGGGGGTCGGGCTCGCTGGCCGGGACAGCTTATACTTTGTTCCATGCAAGCGGTCCGACAACGGTAGAAACAGGATCCAAACTGAAACTAACTTTGGCGCTGCGCCCTAAACCCTAAACCCTGGAAGCCGAAAGAAGGCGAGATGACTGCGGATCTCGAAGCTTTTCACGAAGGCACCTGAACTGCTTGAGTCAGGTCTGCGAGCTACGGTTGATGATATAAATCCTGCATTACCTTAAGGACCCTAAACTACGGGAATTATGGGTAATGCAGGATTTATATCTTCAACCGTATGTATCCAGCCCCAGACCCGTAATGTTAAGCCTTAAAGCCTCTCCCGAAGTCCGGCACCCCAAGCCCAAAATCCCAAATCCCGAACCCGAAACCCTAGGCCCCTAGACTTAACCCCTAAACCTGAGCCCTAAACCCGGAAGTAGAGCGCTACCTTATATCACCACGAATCGGAACACCGTTCTTTGAACCCAGAAACCTTAAACCACCCCTAAGCTTCCAAACCAACTTATTTCAAGCAGGTCCAGCCCAGATAACCCAGCCCTGAAGCCTTAAAACTTCTTCAAACCCTCAACCCTAAGCCCTAAACCGCACGGGCCCCCAGCACCCCAAACCCCCAAAGCCCTGCTGTCAGCCTTTGGGACGAAGCTCGGGGTGTCCATCATGTCCTCCTCGGGCCTCATCACTGGCTTGGCCGTGGGCTTCTTCTTGCCACTCGGGCGGTGAAGGTTCCCGGGTTCAGGGTGTTGCGCTACGTGCAGTTCTACAGAAACTTCATCTTGGGATGCAGGGTTTAGGGGTTTGAGCTACGGGGTTTAGTGGCAGGAGGCTGAGGGTTTGGGCTTCAGGGAAGTCCTGCTTAGCTTACAGTGATGAGTGGTTCTGTTTCGTGCTCTTCAGCTTGGCTGACACCCGAAACCCTACAGAAACAAGGGAAACAAGGGACACCGGACGGTGCGATTGCTCTGGACTCCAGCCCTAGAAGACGACACTAAACTTTCAGGGTCTAGCCCAAACCCTAAACTTCAAAGCCCAGACCCTAAACCTAAATTCGTGCATGTTTCAAGAAGGCTTGGACGTTTGCTTTTCCTGAAACTATAGGTAGGATCCCTAAAACGATTGAGGTATATTCCTTAATTGAGGGATATCGGAGTCTCTGGGAGGTTTGCTTGAGGTCCTGGGAGATCCCTCTCCTCATGCTCGCTACGCTGCCCCTGATGTCTGCCGGCGCTTTCATCATGCCAGGGCCTTAGCATACCCTAAACCCTAAACCTTGCAAATCCTCGCAAGCTTCGGGTTTTGTAGGGTTTAGGCTCACTGGGTTATGGGTCTTGGGCTCAGGGATGCTTAGGGTGAAGATCTACTACGATTTACGAGGGTTTGGGTTTCGCTGTTTTGTCTCAGAGGCTCGAGGCTCAGGATGAGGGCTGCAGGGACGTGTAGTCCTTCGAGCTTGAGGCTTCATGGATGAAGCTGCAAGGGCTTAGGGCCTTAGGGAACTCAGGCTGGGTTTAGGATTTAGGATGTAATAATCACCTATACTATTTTTGGGGTTCCTTATTAAAGTTAAAGTATACTGGGCCCCAAAACCCTACTCTAATTGTTAAGGATGTAAGGGTTGCGACTCCCAGGAGGGAGCCCCGTAGCCCAGCAGCCTCCGCTCCAAACTCGAATGCGGCTTCCTCGACCATGGCTCTTAGGGTCAAGGTTCAGGGTTGAAGGTTAGGGGCTTAGGATTTAGGACCTAAGCCTCAAGCCCTTAACAAGAACACGGGAATGGTAAGAGGGCTTAAAGCCCGGCCCAAAACTTACAGGAATCCGAAGCCCCAAACCCTGCCTGTGACCTGCTGGTCCGAGGGGGCAGGCCGTTCTGGATGCCGTGTGGCCCGGCCAAATTAGTCCACAGCCAGCTGGTCGTATAGGAGCCTTCAGTGGTGATTCCAAACTTCCGGTAGGGGGTTCCTTTAGGGGTTTAAGGGGCCTCTATGATGAGACTCGGGTTTTGCGGTATATGATAGTATTTTTAGTATGGTTTTAGAGGGACTGGAAGGGAATGCCATTGCCAATTGTTCGAGCTTCGTTTCCGCAGAGCGGTTCAGCAGAGGTTAGGGCATGACATGTCACAGGTTTGGGACGTAGAGTTTTGGTGGTTTGGGGCTTCCTCGTGTTTCATGACTTATGGAGTATTTTTTTTGAGTTTGGGGTTCGAAGTCTGGGGCTTGAAGCTGTGATGTGCCTCGACGCCAAGGGGGCTTGTGGCAGAGGTTTCGGTGCCCACGTTTGTACACATTCGCGAGACATCGGATGCGGTTTAGGGCTCAGGGTCTAGGGTTTCCTAAACCTGAACTGCTCTAATACCAAATTGGTAACAAGTGTTCCCATGCAAACAGCATGCGAGGAAGAACCGTGCTCATGACTTGCCAGGCTTGCCCCATTCCATTGCATCCATTGCTTTCTGCGTGCGTCCGTGTGTTCTCAGGGAGCACTTGAAGATCTCACCGGAACGACTGTAGGCCGTAGGCTTCATGTAATGCTACGCTACTGCGCAACTACACTGCCCAGCACGAACCCTAAACCCTCAACCAGATACACTACCACAATGCCCTGAACCCTAAGCCCTAAATGCTGCAGCCTTAATCTCCAGGCAAGAAGTTCAAGGGCCCTACGAGAAGGCGGCGGCCCTGGCCGATGAGATGCTGTTTGCCATCCGCACCGTCGCAGCTTGTCTTGATGGCAAAGCTCTGGGAAGGTGATTCAGCGCCAGTGAAATTCGTCGAATCGTAGCATACGCACTTTAGACATGTATGTATGTCTGTATGTTTGTACGTATTGATATTAGCGCGTACTTGTACTATATGTATTATTCGAATGCACATGCCACATGCATACAGAGTGCAATCCAGTTCATGGTGTGTTTTGCTCGCTGCGCCACGTTGCGGGATTCGGAGTGCTTGAGAGGAGGGTCAGGGGCAAGTTGGATGATTGGGTGAATGGGCAGGGCTGACGCTTTTGTGTCTATACCCGAAAGTGCACTGATGGATGGAGGTATTGATGGATGGATGTGCATTTTCGGCATCATGAGCCGGTGTCCAGACAGCAAGCATTCTCACCTCGTGGAGGTTGGCTGGCTCGGTATGGAGCATGGAGGTTTTAACAGATCGATTCTAGAATTCTTGTAGCCTAGTCCCTGCCTGAATATTCCTACGGAAGCTCGAGGGCAGCCCATTAGGAGGCAGATATCTAACCACACCCCCAAACCCGAAACTGTACGGACCCTAAAACATAAAAGCTCAACCCATGTCAGAACTGCTGCAGAAGCTCTCAAACTCGCCGAGGTCGCCTTTGGCGGCGAGGTCTGCCGGGCGTGTTCCTGTTGCTACTTTCGGGTGTGTGGAGTGTTGGGACTGCGTTTGGGTTCAGGGTTTGAGATCCAGGGCCTGAGCTGCTTGACCCCTGGGGGAATGCAGAGGTTGGGAATGTGGATTCGGGGCTTTTGTCTAAGGTTTGGGGGTCTCAGAGCTTCAGGGGACGCCCTTGATAGCAAAACACACACGCAGCTAACTTCCAGCCACAGATATGTTGCTGACAGCCTGCGTTTCAAGTACCCATGAACCTGCAGGTATTCACCCAAGCCCTAAAGTGCCCACGACTCATATGCCCAAGGATTCATATCGGGGCTGCTGGCAAGCACTGCCTCTGGCACTACTGCTGCTGCTACTACTACTACTGCTACTGCTACTGCTACTGCCACTGCTACTGCTACTGCTACTGCTACTGCTACTGCTACTGCTACTGCTACTGCTACTGCTACTGCTACTGCTGCTGCTACTACTACTACTGGTACTGCTACTGGTACTGGTACTGGTACTGCTACTGCTACTGCTACTGCTACTGCTACTGCTACTGCCTCTGCTACTGCTACTGCTACTGCTACTGCTACTGCTACTGCTACTGCTACTGCTACTGCTACTGCTACTACTACGACGCCGAGGACTACGACTGCTACTGCTACTGCTACTGCTACTGCTACCACCACTCCCGCCACCAGCACCAGTCATGGTCCCAGCCGTACTAGCCTTTACATCCATTGCCAAAGTACCCAACCCTTGAATGACAAGCAGCATCAATTTCTGTTGCGCTCTCATGCAGAGGCTCGCGAGATCCGTCGATATTCTGATGCAGTATCCTCCGCATCCAAAGGAGGCAGGAGTTTGGAATCAGGGGACAGCTTTGTGCCCGAAGCATGAAAGCTGCAGCCGTTTGGGGTTAAGGCTTCAGAGGCTTAAGGGTTTACCCTAAGGTAGTGAGATCTCAAACCCCAGCCCCCAAAGTGCAAACCTCCCAAGAAAGCCATAATCGATGACCCGGGTTTGAACTCTACATCCAAAACCCTAAACGTATTGATTTTAACGCAGAGAGTTTCGCTTTGTGGTGAAGGATACACTACAGCTGCCTGTGCTCGCCCTAAACCATTAACCGTTGCTATAACCCTATAACCCCATAATCTATCTCTACACCCTAAACCATTTAGCCTAAACCCTATAACCCTAGAACCTCCACAGAGTTACTATAACCCTAGAACCTTCTATTATATCCCTACACCCTAGACCCTTTAACCCTACACCCCATAACCCTAAAACCGCCACAGAAGGCCTCCGGAACAGAATCAAGATGGGCTTCGGCGCCTCGGCGAGTGCTATGATGATGAGGATCTTAGGCCTAAGTTTAAGTGTTAGAATTAGTAGTAGAATTCGTGACTATTTGTGTTAGTATCAGTATTGGTATTAGTAATATAAAATAGTAATGTTAGTCTTCGTGATAGTATGAGTAATAGTATTCGTAAATATTCGTATTGGTATGGGTATCCGTGTTCGTGTTAGGATTGCTGTCGTTTCTTCTGTTCTTGGCACTACTGTTTTTTTCATCTTTTCAGTAAAAACGTCATCTTTGTGTTCCTTTTCCTGTGGGCAACAGTCTGGGTCTTGGACCTTTATCGCAGAAGGGTGAACGCTGCCGGCATTACTGGTTCTGCTATGCCCCAAAACCGTACACCCCAAACTAAAAAGGCACCAAAGGCCCGCAAAGCCCCAACACTCGAAGAGCACCAAAAGCCAGAGCGCCCTCAACGTAAGAGGACTTCATTGCCCCAAATCCTGAACCTCGCCATGAGTGAACCCACACCCTCCCCTTGATCCCAAGATTCCCTTTAATCCAACGTCTAAACCCTAAACCAGAAAGTCTAAACCTCCACAGCCCTACTGCAGGCATGGGCTATATTTGGTTCGTCTACTTTGCAGCGATGGCTTTGGCATTCTGGTTCGCGATGACGCTGATGACTGGTGGAAAGGAGGACGCGGATTCCTAAGCCGCGTTTTCAATGCCTCATCCCAAGGCCTTCCTTAACCCTAAACCCGAAAGCCCAAAGCCTCAAGCCCGACTTGAAGGTTCATGGGTAGCTATAAGCGTGGTTATAAGAAATGTAACTTTACCCATAACCCATATTAGGGCACTTACAAGCCCACTTATAACTACCCATGATCCTCCAAGTAGCGGCTTGAATCCCCACGCCCTCTTTGCTCTGGCGGAGGGGCTCACCTCCGGAAGAGTTATGGCAGCGTTCACTTGAGCTTCGGATGGAGTTCAGCATTTGACAGCCTTTTTGATCGTCTTATTCGGGCTTTTGGGTTCCGGGTTCCCGTAAGGGTTCCAAAAGTCGGTTCTTAGTAATTAGAGAATGGGGGAATGGATTATGGAGACCATTAGTGGAGATTACGTAGGGACTACGAAAGGGATCCATTCCCCCATTCCCTACTAAGCACCAGACAGTTTTATTGTCCTATATGCCGAAAGGTCTAGGGCCTAGAGTCTAGGGTGTTGGGGTGAGCCACAAAGCCCCATGCCCTCGAACTTGAAGCCCAAACCTTAATGAACCGTACGACAGAAGCCTTGACCCCGAAACCCTGAACCGGAAACTCTGAATCCTACGCCTCAAATTTTAAATCGTCAGGGTTCTGGGCGTGGGAAAGAGGGTTCAAGTTTCTTCTCAGTGCCGGCACCGTAACACAGTTAGTTAGTCAGTTGCTTCTCAGTGCTGGAAGAGGTGAGTGCTGCCTTGCTCGAGGGTTTGGATCTCAGGCTACCCCACTTCTGAACCTTAACCGTGCAACCGTCCCATGTTGAAGCCCTAACGGCCCGAAGCCCGGACAAAGGCTTCGGGTCTACGGTTCCCAGAGAGCCCACTACCCCTTAATGAAGGAACATAGCTTAAATCATTAGGGGCTTCATATTATGATTGCTACATTCCTTAATTTGGGGTACTGGGCTCTCTGCTTTTGGGTTTAAGTCAGACTACAAAATGCCCAGGCGTCCTCACGAGTGGCTTCATGATCGGTAACATCGCGCCCGGCTTCGCCAACATCGCGGCGGCAAAGGCTTCCAGATTGAAGGGGGATGTTGAGCTACCCTAAACCCTAAATCCTAAACCCGAACCTCCGGCTTTGTAGAAAAGGAGCTCAAACAAACCCGAACCTCCATGAGTTTGGGGAAATCCCGAATTTCGCTTGACCCGAACTCGTGAATCTATCGTAGACTCGAAGTCGGAAGCCCCATACCGCCCAAACAATTTATGGGGACCCTTAGGGGGATAGGGGAGGGGGTACCCCCCCAAGGGTACCTATGAAGCAATTGAAAGATCAAACCTTCGACGCTGCGCCCCAGAAGGCTGACACACTTCGAAAACTGCAGCCTGAACCTTAAACAAGCCTTGACGATCCTTGACGCATTGAGCCCTAACCTTTAAAAAGACTTGTAAGTCTGCACTATAAAGCCCTAAGCCGAATCCCTAAATCCAAATCCTTCGTAGGCCCCATTAAAGCCCTTATGCACCCTACAGCAATAGAGTAAGAATGAGACTATAATATGGTTGGTTGTCAAAATTAGGGCCCCTTTTTGGGTACCCTAAATATTCGATGCCGTATTATAATAAGGACCCAAAAAAGCACCCCAATTTTGACAACCACCCATATGGTAACAATACTACGACAACCCAAGAAGTATCGATTCGAGCCTCGAAGAAGCTCCGATGGCTGAGCTCACTTTCGCAAGCGCCGGAGCCAGAGAGCCCAATACCCCTTAATTCAGGAATAGACCTGAAATCACTAGGGGTTTCATATTATGATGTAAGCTATATTCCGTAGTTAAGGGATATTGGGCTCTCTGGGGAGAACATGGTACGTTCGGCCTTCTCTAAATCAGGGCCCCTTTCAGGTACCCAAAATGGTACAGCACCCTTACAAAAGGATCCTAAACGGGACGCCAATATAGAGGACTGCCCATATGATCCATTTGGAAGCCTGAAAAAACGTGATAGTCAAGCTGGGTTCTCTATTCTCACTGTGTGATAGCAGAATGATTCATGATCTATTCCTCAAGGGTTCCTTATTGTGAAAGTTATGGCAGAAGATACGCGCAATCCCTATTCCAATTGTGAAGGCCCCTGTGTGGTCATGACCGTTTCTACAAGACCAGTTTGATAGCTATCTCTACAGCGTGACGTCCTTTTGCATTTTCCAAGGATCGGGTTTGCCCACAGAAGAACAGAAAACGCTGTTCAAAACTGCAAAACCCTGAACCGCTGTCCCTCATGTAGCCCTTGTACAACCCCTTTTACATGGACCTTTTGCAGGTATCCATGGCCCGTTTCTTCTGCTTGGTGACTCGGCATGTTTGGCCTTCCAGATCGCAGGGTTGAGCGCTTGGGGCTGAAGCCTCAGGCAATGCTACTGACAGAATCAGCACCAGCAGTGCGTATATGACAGCACGACGATACTATAAACTTAACATCAATAATACTGACCGATACTAGTACTCAAAGGGTTGAGGTTATCAGGTCTTGTGCGTTTTTTGGGCCCGGAGGCTTCGGGGTGTGGGTTTCTGGGTCAGTCCGTCCACCTGAGACCGCAGAGAATCCGACAACCCTTAAACCTTTAGTGCCTGCATGAAACCTTCGAAGTGGAACCCCGGCTGGGAAACATATAAACTGCATCTTTCGAACCTATGTTTCCTGTCCTGTCTTGTCGTATGTAAGATTCAGTTGTGGTGTGTCGGATGTTGGTGGGCATATCGGCGAGCCAGGATTCAGGTTGGTTCGTGGATGGGGTCAGAAGCTGACAACGAGAGGTTAGCTTGTTGCGCTTCAGGCGAGGAAGTGCATGCGCGGCCTATGTTACATGTGCAATAACGCCATAGTTTGTCGAACCACGTAGCAGACGTAGCATCCACCTTTGCTGAAGGAGCCGGATTCGGGCAGAAGGGGTGTGAGGGGTAAGAACATCAAGCTAGTATGAACTCCGCAGATACACGAGTCACCCTAGTCAGAAGAGGCGTCCATTTGCAGCACAGTCGAATGTCTGCAGATGTTCTCGTCGAGGAATACGTCCGATAATTTTTGACAATCCAGCTTTAGGCTCAAGGGCATGCGGCATCTTACCTTTGGCTAGTAGGGAATGGAGGAATGTGGTATAATTATAATTACTATTACTACCATTCTTCCATTCCCTACTAACCAAACGTAAGGCATGAGGCCTCTAACGAAGCAGAAGCTTCGGAGATGTCTTCTCTCCGGCTTCCCGGCCCTGTTCTCCCGCAGTAGCTGCGCTGAGCGGAGCCCCCCGAGCTGGTGGAAAGCAGGACGTGCCCGGAAACGGCCGGGAAGCGTTGCAGAGGCCGAGCTCCTGTCGCACTTGGGAGTTCTTCTGCTGCCGGAGGAGCGCATCGAAGAGCTCTTCCGTGACTTCCCTGCTAAGCAGAGCGAGAAGTGGGGTCGGAGCACCTTGAGCCCAGATTTGGCGGTGTATGGTGCCTTGCAGGCAAAGGAAGCCGCTCTGTTCTTAGAGTACGACGGCCACTATCGGCACCTGGAGCCTGCTGGCATCGCTGCGGATACTCGCAAGAGCAAGGCACTTCTGGACTCAGCCCCTGCCGGGTCGTACCTGCTGCGCATAGCTCATGCCCATCGTGGATTGGATCTCTCATGCGAGATGGGGGAAGTTGTGATCAAGTCGTGGCAGCCAGGAAAAGAGGCTTCGTTGGTCAATGCACTTTGTGAAGTCGTTCAGGTTTTGTTGACACTTCATGGTGGCAACTTACAGCCGAGGTTGCGAACGAATCTGCAGAATTTCATGGACAATCCAGCCGGCGCTTCCTGGGTTAAAGCAGTTGAATTTACTGAGCAAGTAGCCGTGGAGAGCAAGAGCTACTTGGACCCAGCAGGCTTGCATGAGTTGTTGCAGTTGGAGCTGTGTTTGTCGCCTGCCCAAGCAATTGCGCTAGCAGGAGCATGTCCTGCTCTGGCACGCTGCGACGTTGAAGGCAAACTCAAGCCCCTGATGCAACAGTTGGAAGCTTGGGGCCTCAACAAGGCCCAGGCTGGCAAACTCGTTGCTCGACATCCGCAGTTTTTGGGATACAGCGTGGAAGAGAAGCTGAAGCCTGCTGTGCAGTGGCTTCGAGACTTGGGATTGACGAAACCTGAGGTTGCCAAAGTGATGGCTCGACATCCCCAAGTGTTGGGACTCAGCATCGATTGTAACTTGAAGCCCACAGTCCGTTCACTGCGAGATCTGGGATTGACGAAAGCTCAGGTCGGCCACGTGATTGCTCGCTGGGCAGCTGTATTGGGACTCAGCATCGACAACAACTTGAAGCCCACGGTGCAGTGGTTTCAAGATGTGGGACTGACGAGAACGGAGGTTGCCAAAGTGGTTGCCCGATGTCCGTCACTGCTCGGACATAGCATCGAGAATGGTTTGCGAGCTACGACCCAGTGGCTTCGAGAGCTAGGAATGACGAGGCTTGAGGTTGCCAAGGCGATTTCGCAACAGCCGACAGTGCTGGCATGCAGCATCGAGAATAACCTGAAGTTGAAGGTCCAGTGGCTTCGAGACCTTGGATTGGAGAAAGCAGCGGTTGCCAAAATCTTTGCAGGATTTCCGCAATTTTTCGCTTTGAGCCTTGACGGGAACTTGAAGCCGAAACTGCGCTTGCTGGCGCAGCTTCTCTCCTCGGAAAGAGTTCGGTTCCTGCTTGTTCGGTATCCGTACATATTCAGCCGAAGCCACGAGCGCTGGGTTCGCCGGATTCAGGTTCTCCAAAAAAGTGGGCGAATCGTTTCCTTCGGGCCAGCGATGATGCTGACAGATGCCAAGTTCGCCGTGAGATTCGAAAACTTAACGCGTGCAAAGTTTTGCGTGTCTGTCCTCCCATCACTCTCATGCACGAGGTGGTCCCAAAATTGAGGCCGAAGCATCAGGTCTTTGTCCTGGCAGATACTCTCCATACCCCCGCAACTTATGATCAGGCAGACATGAGGATAGCGAGGGTTTTTCCGGGTGTCTCAGCATCCGCTACTAGCTGCATATGATGGTCACATGCGGCCTTGAGACGTTGAAGGGCATCAGATTCAGCAGATCCTGATTCGAACATGCTGGGGGACTGCAGATTACCCCTTCAGCCCATCTCTCCTTGATCCACCTGGCCTCAGCCCTGAAACCTAAGACCCCAAACAACATCCTCGAAGTCTAGCCTCCAAAGCTCTGCACCCCAGGCCCCGGACTCGAAGCCTTGGTTCCTAAACCCCAAGACCTTGCAGTCTGAGCTTTCATTCCTTACTCCTGAGCTTTAGATCCGAAGTGAGGTGAAACATTGAAGATTTGGGTTCTGAGCTTTGAAGTTGCTTCGGAGTTTTGGAGCCCACGGCCTGGAGTCTCGGGTTTTCGGCATTCCCAGCCAAAAAGCTTTGCCTACAATATTCACTCTGTTCTGAATTTGCTCTGGCGGACCTCTACCTAAACCAGAAACTTACTTAAAACCCTATACCCTATCTCACAGACACCTTCTGTCCAAGGTGAACCGCGAGTCGACGATTCAGAAGAGTTGCCTGGCATAGTCGTGATACGGCTTGGGGCTTAGGGGGGCCTGGTGATGCAAGGACTTCGGCCAGAAGGCTCTTTGGAGTTTAGAGGTGAAGGTTTCGGGCTTTCTGAGATGGAACTTCCTTCTGCCAGGCTCTTTCACGCAAAGGGCCTATATAGGGCTTAGGGTTCAGGGCTTCGACCCCCGAAGTTAGAGCTTTGAGATGTGCCGTTGCGGTTTACTTTGTTGATTTCGCTAAACCCTCAACCTCTCCCGAAGGAGTGCGTGATGACCGTGAAGTCATCGGGCCCATCGAGACGCTTCAGTTGGAGGACGTGAACCGTAGTTATAGGTCTGTAAGACTTGTGGTCCAGTTAGCAACCCTACCCTCAAGCCTCAACACTAAGCCCTCAAACCCGAAGCCTGAACCCTGAGCACCAGGCCCTCGACCGGCAATAGTTTCTGAGTTCCCAGCTTTGGGATGTCGGCTTGGGGCAGCACCCATACCTTCTAAACCTTAACGTGAGGATGTGCACTTCGCCTACCCCGCGCGGCCGGAGATCACGGTGCTGCATGGCCTCTCTCTCACGATTCAGAAGGTGGGACGCAGACTCCACAGAGTTTGGGGAGTTGAACGTTTCATGTAGGGGCCCGACCAAAAACGCCATTCCTCTGTGTTCCTTCTCATGGCTTCAACTTGTTTTGCCCCAAAAACCCTGTTCTAAGTACTAAGGTCCCTCTTTAGACTCTCGGAGTGCCTGTTCTTATCTTTGAGGATTCAGTGTTTATGGGTTCCCAAAGGGTTGTATTCTTAAAGGGTTCCTTTTCAGGGCAGCTAAACATCAACATACAGACTGTAGGGTTGCCTGGCACTTTCCTTTGTGGGTTCAGAAGGTCGGGAGCAGACTGAGTAGAGATTTTGGGGACTTACTTGAATCTACTTGAAGGCGTCAAGCTCTGAGTCGCTTTGGGTTTGGGATTACTTTTTGCACTTGCGCTTGTTCGAGGTTTAAGTGTGCTCTAGGGTACGAGGCCTTTGTTGCCCGCCTGAAAGAGGCAACCCTGGTAGTCTGTCACATTCCCGAACTCTACTTGGAGGTTCATAGGTAGTTATAAGTGGGAATTGTAAGTCCCCTAACGTGGGTTATAAGCATGGTTACCCTAGTTATAACCCTAACGAAGCCCTGAAGCCCAAGCTGGGTTCTTGTTAGAAGATGTTTTAAGTTACCACGATTCTTGAAGTTACCAGAGTAAGGAAACCCTATCATTAGTATCATGATTATTATTACTATACATCCCTATTATCGAAACTTAATTCAAATTCCTTAGCAAGAACCCACCAAGACCCGTTTACTTCGCAGGGTAAGAAGGTGGCCGTCGTGGGAGAGTCGGGCAGCGGGAAGATGCTCGGCTAATCGGATCGAGCTCTGTACCTGTGGTTGGGGTTCATGTTAAGGGGTATCGACCATAGGTCTCTACACCCTAAATCTGAAACCCTGAACCCTGAACCCTAAGCCCTACATAGTGGGACTACAAGGCGACCCCCGAACCCGGAAACCACTTCCAAGGAGCACTATCATGGCGTTGCTGGAACGCTTCTACGATCCCTCCGAGGGCAAAGTGCTGGTGAACGAGAAAGATCTCAGGCGCGTGCGGGTGGGCTCGGGGCCTTTCCTTCGGTGCGGAGGGTTTGGGGTTTCTGTTCTTTGCCGAAGCAGGCAAGAATGTTCAACAGGCAGCAGGCCAACTTGTCTCCAAGAAGCCTTGATCGCGAAAAAACCGTGAGCCCTGAACCCAAGACAAACCCCGGACCCTGAAGCCTAAATCCCGGGCCCTACACCCACGTCACTTCCAGTAGAAACCCATCCAAAGACGTCCAAACCAAGCAGGCCATTACCCCTCCCCTGTAATTTGCACAATTCGGATCGTCCTTGTCAAGAAGAGGGTTCAGGTCAGGGTTCATGAGCTTAGTGTTGAAGGTTTTCGTGCTTTTAGGTTTTAGAGGTGATTAGGTAGGGTGCAGGCTCTGGTTTTTATGGGTTCGGGGTTTCAGAAAAAGTTGGGCTGCTCGACAGGACCATCAACATTCAGTCCTACCGAAAGCAGATCGGCTACGTTGGCCAGGCGCAACCCCTTTACCAAACGCCAACCCTACAGTGCAAAGGGGTCCCACCGTCCGTTCGAAACCCCCAAACTCCAGTCCGCGAGCTGCAACTAAGACGATTAGTATGGGGACCTAAATCATAACCAATACGATTTTTGGGGTGTTCCTTTTTTCGAATTATAGTATAATGGGCCCGAAAACCCTATTCTGACTATTAAGGCCCCTATGGTAAGCGTGGCAGCCGAACTTTAAAGCCCAACAGGAGCCCGTCCTCTTCGCCACCAGCGTGCGCGAGAACATCCTGCAAGGCAGCAGTGGTGCGTCCGAAGAGGACAGTGCGGGTTTAGGGGTTTAGGTTTAGGGTTTAGGGTTTAGGTTTAGGGAGGGGAGAAGTGTTGGTTTTGCAGTTTTACTGTAGAGGCTTGAACGAAATTCCTCGAATACGGCTTTCAAGAGTTCGAAAGAGTGTTAAGAAGATCTTGTAGTTTTAGTATAGAGGCCTTCTTAATCAGATTTGGGCTTACAGCTTACGGTTGCTGAATATCGCTTGAGCCCTTACTCACACTTCTGCTTCAGCAAACATGCTCAAAAAGGGCCCCAAAGAGGCACGTAAGCAAAATTAGATATGGATATCCTATAGAAATCCCCTTGTATTGAAGCCCAATAAGGTTGGGATATCCATGTCGTGTTGCGGGACCCAAATGTTCAATTGTCCACTGCACTGGTCGAACAGCCCTCAGGCTTGGCCCCGACATAGTCAAAGTTTAGCGTGCAGGATTCAGGGTTCGGGCTTTAGGGTTTGGGTTTACAGTGTAGGGTTCAGGAGCCTTATGTCTAGGTCGCATCAAGCAGAGTCTTTACCACAAGTCCGGAGCAGGAAGGGGCAAAACCGACATAGAATGTCGCCTACTGCCTCGTCTGATGCCCTAAGCCGCAAGACCCTGAAGCCTGGACCCGGGGATTGTGGGTTCAGCAGTTTAGGGTCCTGAACACCCTGGACTTTGAGCCTCGTCGTTTCGGATTTCAAGGCCGCCAAACATCATGAGGGACTAACAAGACAGAACCCTAAGCGGCCGAAACAGTATGAGCCCCACACCCTCAAACCCACAGTTTAGCCCTCAAACCCAAAACAAATCAGAGAAGCCCCTGGACGGTCCGAAGAGCGAGGGCCCTAAACCCTAAACCCGACATGATTAGGGTCCCTTTTTTGGTTCCCCTTGATGATAGGGGCCGCATTATAATAGGGACCCCCAAAAGGGACCCTAATTTTGACAACCACCCATTTGCCGACTTTATGTCCAGGACTTCGAGGCAGCTGCCAAGCAGGCCAATGAGTTGCCACGCTTTCTTTCCCGGTCTTCGTCAGGCTAAGGTAGGGTTCAGGGTTTAGGGTTTAGGGTTTAGGGTTTTGGGTTTAGGGTTCGTTTCCAGTTCGTTTTAGCTTAGTCTTTCCAGGGCTAGCACGCAGATTCGGTTCAGCAGGGTTCATGTTGGTGCTCCGTACTGTGGAGTTTGTGGCCAGGTTGGCAAAAGCCAGTTTACTGGTGTGAGTTCAATGAAGTTGAACTTGTTCGACCAGGGTCTGTCGTTGATTGCGGAGAGGCGCTTTCGACGCTGGCTTGAAGCCACACGCAGGGTATGCTTCCCGTGGACCACGTTTCGGATGAGGTCTTGCGCATGCCACAGACCACATGCACTCACTTTCTGGGAACTCACCTCTACCTGAACTGCACAAGCCTTGAATGCCCGAACTTGGAAGCCTCACTAGCTTCATCTTCAGAGGCAGTTGTGTTAGTGTAAGCTGCTCCCAACGTCTCGCTTGTTCTTCTCCTTGCGCCGTTGTCTTTCCCACGGCGTCTCCAGAATGACAATTCACAGTTTAAGTTTAAGCCTAGACCTTCGTATCAACGGCAGGGTACTCAAGTTTCGCCGTCACTACAGTAAGCCTAAAGCCCAAAGCCTCGACCCCGAACCCTAAACCCTGTACAACTTTGTTAAGAAGCCCTCTAGTAACACACTATAGCACCCTATGAAAACTATGAAACTCTATATCACACTAGGCAGAGCCTTTCAAATCCGATAAAAACCTCTGCAAAACCCCGACACCCTCCCCAGGCGCAGCTGGACTTCGTCCGAGGGCTGCCCAAGGCCTTCGACACCTACGTGGGCTCCGGTGGGTGAGGGCCTCAGGGTTTAGGGCCTCAGGATTTAGGGTTCCCTTAAGGGTTTAGGCTTTAGGGTTTAGGGTTCCCTTACTTAAGGGGGTTAGGGTTTAGGGTGCCAAAAACAGTATCAGGCCGCCCCGAGGACCACGCCAAGGTTTAGGGCCTCAGGATTTTGGCTTCAAGGCTATGGGGTTCTAGAGTTTGGAGTTCTGCGAGTGTTTCGGGTCTATAGGCACTAGAGCTTTGGGGTTTAGAGTATAGGAAGCTGTAGTATAAGGGTCTGAACGCGTAGTGCCAGAACTCCCTCATAGTCCTCATATGAATATGGTAAGATAAACACCAAAGCACTCCAACTAACAAAGCCCGTGCATTGCGGCGCATCAGGGGTTCCAGGCAAACAGCGGTCTGCAGTTGTCCGCCAGAGGATCTGGGACTGAAGGTGGCATGTGCAGGTGGCATGTGCAGGAGCTATCCGGGGTTTGTGCTGGCATCAGCGTTCCAGGTAACAGCAGAAGTTGGTCGGTAACAGCGAAACATGGTCAGTGACAGCCGGTGGCAGAATTTGCCGGTTTGGGTTTGGGAAAAGGGCTTGCTCTAAACCCTGAACCCTGATGCCAAAGCCTGAACCCTCACACCCTGAACCCCTGAAGCCTTACACCCTGAAACGCTAAACCCGCGAAACCCCCAACCTAAACCTTCAAACCCTAGACCATGAGTCGAAGCCCCTATTCCCCTGGAACCCCTGAATCCCCAAAGGCATGTCTCAGTTCACCCTGAACCCCTAGACCCTACACTCAAAAGCCCTAAACCCCAAAAGCCAGAAACACACGAACCCCTAAACCCCGAAAGCCCAAACCCCTAAAGCCCCTAAAGCCCCTAAAGCCCCTAAACCCTAAACCTTCAAAGCCCAAAACCCCCAAAACCCTACACCCCTTACAAGAGCCGAACCCCTAAACCCCTAAAGCCCTAAACCCCTAAACCCTGTAGAACCCTTGAGGGAACTCTATAACCGCAATAACACCAACTTAGAACTACCCATGAGCCCCGAATCATAAAGCCGTAAACCCCAAAAGCCTAAACCCCCAAACCCCTAAATCCTATAGATCCCTTATAGAACCCTTATAGATCCCTTTAAAGGAACCCTATGAACCCCTAAAGTCCCCCTTGAAAGAGCCCGCAGGTCGCAGTTCTCCGGTGGCCAAAAGCAGCGCATCGCCATCGCCCGGGCTCTGCTCAAGAAGCCCTCGCTGCTGTTCCTGGCGCGGGCCCTGGGAGCTGAAGACGGGAGCCAGCGCTACTTTGGAGACAGGGTGCATATCAACTTAAAAAAAGAAGACGGGAGCCTGGAGAATTAATATTGTGCAGAACATTATGTTTTAGGGTATATATCTATATAGAGCAGTATGGTGATATTAGTATGCGCAGTTTTTTATACTGATTCGAAAACTATTGCTACGATCTTCTTAAGAAGTCTGAAGAGTTTGACCTACTATTCCTTCAAGGTTTCTTGACGTAGCAGCACCATGCACCCTGTCCTGACTTGCTTTGTCCCCCAAACCTTTGTCTAATTATTAAGGCTTCTCTGCTAGGTCCACAGGTGAAAGGAGTGGCACTGAGCCTTGGAGCCTATGAGCTGCATATCTTCAGCGGCAGCTGCGATAGCTGGTTTTTAAAGACCGTGTGTGGCACCTGGAAGCTTGGGTGAGCTCAAGAGCAACTGTCTGTCAAATCTGTAACGCTTGCGAGTTCCTGCGCCGCAATGCCCTAAGATCTGCAATCCGAAGCCCGTACTTCCTGAGCCTGAGCTGTTTAGATGATCCTTCCCCTTCAGCCCGCAGATGAGTCCACTTGAACCGGGTTGCAAGTTCAACCCTGTGAAAAACTGAAACAAAACCAATATGGCCGGCACTCAGTCCTCAACCACCGAAGCCCTGAGCCAAGTCTCCCCAGGCACAAACCCCTTGAAGTCCGAAACCCAAACAAGAACCCTTACAGGAGCCCCCTAGTACGAACCCTTAAAGGACGATCCCATCCTTGACATGAACCCTTACAGGAACCCTCACCGGACCCATATCGGAGTCCTTCTCGGAGCGATTTTAGGAACCTGAATGGGAGCGCTTAAAGCCATCGGCCCTGCAGCCAGACCCAGGACGAGGCCACGAGTGCCTTGGACAGCCGCTCTGAGAAGATGATCCAACGAACCATTGACAGCCTGGGACAGACGCGGCTGTGCTGGAAAGAGAGCGCTTTTGAGGATGAGTCGGTTTAGGAGTCAGGGTCTGCGTTTGGGGTGTGGTGTAATATTGTGGTTTAAGGTGTCAAGCAGAGGGTCTGGCATCTGGGACACAGGGTTTTGGGTTTGTTGACTATAACGTTTGAGTTGATGCCTGGGTGTTGTTCTTTGTGCTGCGCGTTAGAGAGCTATGAGCAGGCTCCGGGTTGGTTGGTGCTTGAATTGAATCCGTTCTCCTTCAATCTTAGGTTTTCCTTCATATGATTTAGCTCCGTAATGATGCGTGAAGCGATATTTGGCTGAGGATTTCGGAACACTCTGAGACCCGAACTCCTGAACTCTACAGCCGAAGTTTCGACGGGTGTTTGCAAGGCAAGGTCTAGGTGGTTTAGGGGCGTAAGGAGTGGGTTATAGAGGTGTCCCTGAATCCCTAAGCACTTGCCATTTTTGACTGAAATGCCAGGCCCCTTCCCTCCCTAGACGCCGAGGGCTTTCGAGTTGGAGCTTCGGGGTGAAACCTGCCCAGATCCCTCGAAAACCTTGTGCTATGGGCGCCTGAATAATTACGAATATTATTCCTATAGGGTTCCTGTATGTGATTATAGTATAGTATACCCAAAACCCTATTCTAACTATTAAGGCCCCGAAAGTAGGATCCCTATCGCAAGCAAAGGACGGCTGGCAAGATGACTATCGTCAGCATCGCCCATCGCTTGAGCACAGTGCCCTGGTCGTTTAGCACCATGAGGGTCCAGACGAGAATAGTCATAAGAAGTTAAAAAGAATGGTGCATGGTGATGATGATGATCATATTGGAGTAAGGTTCCTGTTGGTGATGATGACTAGGATGATAGATTGCCATAGCAGTCATATGTTCTTCAACATGTCGACGTTCGGACCAGGGAAAGTCTCTCCCCAATCCTCAACCCTGAAATCGAAGCCCTGAGCCCGGCGCCCTGAATGATAATCCCCTAAGCAGTAGCCCTAAACATCGCAACAGGTGCAGAACTCCGACATCATCTTCGTGCTGTCTGGTGGACGAGCTGCTTGCCCGATCCAGTTATATACCTCTGCTGGTAGCTTTTGACCCTAACCTCCGAAGTAGGACAACAATGCGCACCCATCGGAGAAGTGCCAGCACTCCTGGATGGTCCAGATTCGAAACCTTTGGTTCCCGGGTTGCTGTTGAAGGCCAGTCTAAGGCAAATCTTGAAGTGATGGAAATGCTCCGAAGGTATGAAAGCAATAACGGAGGCGTTAGCAAGTAGTTGGGGACAGTAGAGGAAGTTCCAATCGCACTTGCGGTTCCTACTGCATATCAAAAGAGTTTCTTGAGTCGGTACGTGGGCTGTCACCGCATGCATGTAGTAGCTCTTCTTCACCTCCGACCTTGCTTCTGTTCGCAGCGGCTTGAAATCAAGGTCTGGGAAGAGCTTAATCCCAAAACCCCTTATAGAACCCATCAAACATTTATAGAATCCTTCCAGAAACTTGGAGGTATCGTACCCGTGGAGGCCTTCAGGTCTCGATGCAAGAAGCATTCTTGGAGGTTCATGGGTAGTTATAAGTAGGATTTATAAGTCCCTTAATATGGGTTATAAGTATAGTTACCCTACTTATACCCCTACTTATAACCAGCCATGAACCTCCAAGTTGAGGTTGCCGAGAAAGGCTCGCACAGCGAGTTGACGGCACAGGAGCCCTCCTTGCGGTGGCATGTTTGCACAAAAGGGGCTTCAAAAAGTACAACAATACTATCGTGGGGGTTCCTTTGTATAGTTATGGCATAGTGGGCCCCAAAACCCCATTCTGGCTCCAAAATCCCGAATTATTCAGGCCCCTATTTTAGCTCCGTGGCCGACTGGCAAAGTATTCCTGTTGGGTTCGAAACAGTTTCATAACGTAACTAGCATCGAATATTGCATCAAGAAGCCAGAACGCAGCATACCTGAAAAGATCAGCTACTCCCCTAACAATGGCCTTCCAAGCAAGCCCATCTTTTCAAAAGGGCTCAGGGCTCTCATTGAAACCCCAAGCCCAGAGACTCAATACCCGAAGAGTAAACGCTCACGTCTGGGCCCTACCTGGACGTTTATGGGTAGCTATAAGTGGGGCTATAAGTCCCCTAATACGGTTTATCAGTCTAGATAGCCTTCATTATGACTACCCATGAACCTCCAGGTATGATAGGGCAAGTGTCTCTTGGGACGCTGCGAGGAGGGTGGCATCTACCAAGCTCTCGCTGCGGCCCAGGGAGCAGTCCTGGTTCATCAGGACGCCCACAGCCCTAAACGCTCAACGGGGGTTTTGGGGCTCATCTTCTCAGATTTCAGGTCGCCACCATCTCTGCACAGGCTTGGATGTAAACCTACGCCCGGAAGCCCAATGTAGTCTCACGTCTTAGTATTCTCTTGTACCCATTGTAATTTTTGAGTCATGTTCTACAACGTACAAAAGCCTGATTTTGAACGCAAAGCTCCGTATCTTCAGCCCTGATTTGTTTTCAGTTGTGCAGTGTCAGAGGGCTTGTCAAAAACTGCATTCGGCATTGTGTGATATAGCCCTTATCAAATCAGATAGGTTGTCTGGGGTCTACTGGGAGGTTCATGGGTAGTTATACGTAGGGTTATACCTAAGCTATCTATACTTGTAACCCATATTAGGGGGCTTATAACCTACTTATAACTACTCATGAACCTCCAAGTAGAAGGTGCAAACCACCGACTCCTGTCCCAAACGCGAGGACCCAGGACGCGGCTCGAACACCAAGCACAGAAACCCTGCCACGTCGAAAGACTCTGCACACCTGCGGCGGATCTGGGCAGAGGGGGCCCAAAGAAGTGCTCACATCTAATATAGGGGGCTGAATAATTGCAAACGCTATTCCTAGGGTTCCTTTAAATTCAGGCCCCTATATTACTGGGAGACAGCACTTACTCGCATCACTCTCTGTGCGCGTTCTTGGGCGTCCACGATTAAGTCACTTGGATAGAACAGATGCAGGTGAGATGCAAAGCAGCTTTGGTGCTCAGACAGGACACTCCGAACCCGCTTTGGTGAGGGTGTTTCTGTAGAAACACCTCTGCGCACAACAGATGCAAAGACATCCACACCCGACAGGTGTAGATACAACTCACGTGTGCAACAGATGCAAACAAGATCCAACACAGGGAGAAAACGGACGCGCCATTTTAAATGCCTAAACCCTAAACCCAAACTCGGTACCCTGAAGAGAAAACCTGTGCACATCAGGACACGGGCGATCTGACGGTTGAGGAAGCAGAGGATGCAGAGGCCTGCCAGGGGGTCAGGTTGCAAAGCAACGCTTCTTCTCTACTTGGAGGTTCATGGGTAGTACTAAGTAGGGTTATAAGTAGGGTTGCTATAGTTATAACCCAGATTAGGGGACTTGTAGCCCCACTTGCAACTACCGATGAAGCTCCAAGTATGTGTTGCCCTTAACCCCGAAACCCACCCTGATCGTCTGATGCCTTGTCGTTTGTTGGTTCCTCCTGCCCCACAACCTACAAACGGGACAGTTGCAGTTGCCGATGGTGAAACCCCGACTCTGCTCCAGGTGATGGTCCCAAAGATCATGCTGCTCGGTTTAGGGTTTGGGGTTTAGGGTATAGGGGCCTAAGTCAGTACCAAGAGTATTTTGGGGGTTCCTTATTCTAACTCTAGTATAATAAAGCCCCATTCTAATTATATCTTCTAACTATAGATAGTATATTTAACTATAGTATAATAAAACCCCATTCTAATTATATCTTCTAACTACAGATAGTATATTTAACTATAGTATAGTATAATAAGACCCCAATTCTAACTCTTAAGGCCGCTATCGTAGGGTTTCAGATCCAGGGTTCAGGGTGGAGCTATGAAGCTTCGCGCTCGTAAGCAGGGGGGATCCTTGCCGGGAGAGGGCAGTGATGGTAGGCTTACTTGGAGGTTCATGGGTAGTTATAAGTGGGGTTGCAAGTTCCCTAATACGGGTTATAAGTTATAAGTATAGGTACCTTACTTATAATACCCCACTTACCACTAGCCATGAACCCTAGATCCTAAACCCTATAGAACGCTTAAAGGAAGCCTAGTTATGACCCTACCCATGAACCTCCAAGTAGAGTGGTCGACCTCCCGTGCATCCCAGGGCAGAGCCCTCGAAAGCGGCGAACACGATGGCGGAGGCCTGGATTCGAAGCCCCAGACCCTAAACCCTAAACCCTAAACCCAGACCCAAAACCTTAAACCCTAGACCCTAAACCCTAAACAGGCCCTAAGCCCTGAGCCTTAAGCTCCCAAACCCCAAGCCTTAAACCCTAGGCCCGAAGACCTCTAAAGGAAGCTTTGAAAGGAACCCTGAAATAGAACCCTGAATAAACCCCTAAATCCTAAACCCTAAACCCTAAACCCTAAACCCTAAACCCTAAACCCTCTAGGGGAGATTTCGGGTTTCGGGTGGCCTCTCAGAAGCTTTCGGGTTCAGAGTTGAGGCTGAAGGGTCCGACTGCGTCCCAGTCCCTTGGGGTCTACTTCGAGGTTCATGGGTAGCTCTAAGTAGGGTTATAAGTAAGATAGCTATACCTAGAAGCCATATTAGGGGACTTATATCCCTGCTTCGAACTCCCCACTGAACCTAGAAGTAGAGTTGAGTCTTGTAATCCTGAAAAGAGTAGGTTCTTGAGTCCAGGAGGCTGAAGACAAGGAAGCCAATCGGATCAAGGACATCACGAAGAACTACAAGGTGGCCGTCGAGGGGTGGGGTTCAGGGCTCCGGGGCTTACAGGTTCTACAAGGGCCCTTTAAGTGTGTCGCAAGGGATCTATAGCGGTTCGCAAAAACGGTTCTGTAGGTCTTTTTTGCTTCGGGAAGGTTCCGGGTTGGGCATTCAGGGATTCAGGGTTTGGGTTGGGGTCTGGGGTTGCAGGATGCGCATCGGTGAATCTAGGATGCAGCGACACGAGGCTTTCTGGGCAGGATACCCTGAACCCACAACCCGACGCCCTAATCTCTAAAGGCTTAAGCTTCATTTGCGTCGACAGGTGCCTATGCGTCGTCTGCTGAGCGGCGGACCCAGGATCAGATTTGTATGTGTTGGAGTTCAGGGCTTCGAGACAGAGTTCCTTAGTTTATATAAGATCATTTATCCTGGCCGGTTAGGGTTTAGGGTTTAGCCTTCAGGGTTCTCTGTTTCGGGTTTGGGGGTTAGAGCCATGTAGAGCTTGAGAGTTTTAGGCGTTTCCGCTGAGGCTTCTCGCGGCCGCAATGGTGGGCCTTCGCTCCGGGCTTCCTGGGAGCTGTGGCCGTGTCCTCAGACCGGACACCACCAGCTTTAGGGTTTACGGGGTTTAGGGGTTCGAGGTTTAAGGGTCCAGGGTTTGGGGTTTGAGGTTTTAGGTTTCGGGTTTAGGATTTTAGGTTCAGTTTTTTTTGTTTTGAGTGTTGGGTTTAGGGTTTAGGGTTTAAATGAGGACCCTAAACCCCGAACCTGAAACTGACCCTAGACTCGACTCGGAACCTTAAATCCTGAAGCTCAACTTATCGCTTTCAAGCCCTTGGCTCTTATTCCGTGGGGGGCCGTAAACCGAATCACCCCACATGAGGCATCAACCGAAAAGAGATGGAGCCTCCCCGAGGTATCCGGAAAAGAGGACCCCCACCCACATAATATTGGGGCCTAAATAATTACCAATATTAGTCTTAGGGTTATTGCTTATGACAAGTATAGTACCACGCGCCCCAAAACCCGATTCTAATTATTAAGGCCCCTACATTATCGAGTTTAGCGGCTTCAAGCCTGAACTCCAGGCAGGTCAGGCTCTCAGGTGCAAGGATTATCGAATCGCAGTTTTTGCCCAAAGCCAACCCCTGAACCGTAAAACCCAAGCATGAAATCCTAAACCCTGAACGGGAGACTCCAAGGTCTATAGACTTGTCTGGGAGCAGGTTTTAGAAGCTGGCACTTGACATTTTGTCGTGGTTTATGCATTAGGCTGGGGGTTGGGGTTTGGGGTTTCGCGCATTTTCAGTGTGAAGAATCCTCCGAAACCTTTCTCTACTCTCCCTACATGATTTGAATCCCTGGCATCCTGAATTCTATAACTTGAGCTGCCATATGGATATCTGGCTAATCAAGAATATCACCCCCGCTACAGTTCTCAGATGCCTCAAAACCATACTCTGATTGTTAAAGCTCCTCAGGTGGCCCTAAAATCGTTATATGGGTGGTTTGCTAAGTTCGGGTCCCTTTTCAGGCCAGACCCCGAGAAGGGGACCCAATTTAAAGACCTATCCGTATCAAATCCCTGAAGCGCTTTGGATCCTAAAGGCCCAAAGCCTGGAAATTGAACCTTAAGCCCCAAGCCGAGAAATCCAAACACAAACACACGCCAAGCCTTACACACCCTTATAGAAGTCTTATACGAACTTTATGGAGCCTGATGGAATGCTTACAGAGCCCTTACAGAACCCTTGTAGAAACCCTTATAGAACCCTTATAGAGCCGTTTATAGAACTCTTATAGAACCCTTGTAGAGCCGTTCATAGAACCCTTCTAGAGCCCTTGTAGAAACCTTTATAGAACCCTTACAGAGCCGTTTATAGAACCCTTATAGAACCCTTATAGAACCCTTGTAGAAACCCTTATAGAACCCTTACAGAGCCGTTTATAGAACCCTTATAGAACCCAACGCCGTCGAGTCCTGTGGCCTTGCGAGGTCAGTGGCGCCTGCTTCCCAGTCCTGGGAGCTTCTCGAACTTGTTCACACGGTATCCGCTTTGGGTGTAGGGTTGAGGGTTTAGGGTTTAGGGTTGACGGTTTAGGGGTTAGGGTTGAGGGTGTAGGGGGGTTTCGACATTAGGGTTTCACGGGGCTTTTTTGGGGGGCTCTTAGAGAGGTTCTGTAGGGTTTGCGGTTTCGGGGTTCGGGTCAAGACTTTGGGTTTAGGGTTCTGGGATGGCGGGTTTAGGGGTTTGGGTTTGTGTAGTCCTTTAGGGTCAGGCCTTTCCTTGATCTAAAGTGCAAAAGCCTCCAGCCCCAACGTCTATTTATGTTGTGCCGAACCGCCAAAGTTCAACTTTTTTCTACTTTTGCCACCCAAACCCTAAACCCTTCGACCCCAACCCTGAACCCTGAAAATGCCGTTTGAGTGATGCGTGTGACTTAAGCTGTTGACGTTGCTTGCCCAGAACTGCTGCGTAGTACTCACATGTTCACAGTCGGTAAACTCTAACAAGTGCTTGCAGTGGTGAGTGCTCAGCCCGGTGCGACGTGCCCGCACATCCGTGGAAATAGCAGCATCTGGGAACGCCAATTCAGGCGATCCGTGTTGGGGCCTCAGTGGGGTACTAGTTCAGGGTTCAACCTTAGTTTCAGGAATTGACGTTCAAACCGAGGCCCCAACAACCTGGCTCATCCTGGTAAGGAATTCTAGCTGTACTGCAGTTGGAAAAGAGCCCACAAAAAAAAAAAAAAGAACCCTCAATGTTCAATCCCACGTCCTCAAGCCTGTTAACCGAAACCCCATAAGCCCCCACAATCCTCCAATCCCCGCTCTAAAGCTTAGAGCCACAAATCCTGAAGCCATAGAACCATAACCCCCCTAAGCCCTTGAAAGGCTTTCATCCTCGTCGAGGCAATGATGGCATTGATGCAGACTGACATGGACAGACCCAGCTGGGCACAGTCTTTTGGGTTTGGGCTTCAGGGCTTAGGGTTTGTTGAAGCTGGCTGGGCGCAGCCTATGGGGCGAGAGAGCTTTTTTTTGGGTTTCGGAGTTCAGAGTTTTAGGCATTAGGGTTTCAGGAGGGAGGCTACTCTGGCTTAGGGTCTAGGACTTAAACCCCCCCAAAGTTTTTTTTACAAAATCCGTGCATGATGCTTGTAGGAACCTTATTGAAGAGACTTCGTGGAATCCTAGAAGACCCTCTAACACCTCCTTCAGATATAGACAAAGCCCAGAAAGAGAGCTCGAACACCCTGCGCCAAGAAAGCGATCCTCCCGAACCCTAAACCCTAAACCCCATTCGGCTATATGAGCTGCGGTCAATATTACGGACAGTCTGGCCTTATGCCCTAAACCCAGAAAGAGCCCGAGGCAGTAAACTCAAACCCCTGAAGGATGCACATGGGTCGGAGGCTTCAAAAGGTGGGATGAAGGTAGGTGGGACATTCCCAGATGAGAGTCCTTACCTTAGTCCTACCTACGTACCCTCATCCAACCTTTTGAGGCGACTCCAAACCGGGAATAGCCCTTTTTACAAGCACATTGCAGGTCCAGTACTGTAGCCGCATAGAAAAATCTAGCCTATGGCAACCTAAGACTTGGAAGTGGAGTAGGTCATCTTTAACTTTTTTGGGGTCACCTTTTTGCCCAGAAGATACCGGAGGTCATCCTGTAGTTCTCCAGGGTATTGGACAAATTAGTAACCATGAATTCTGAATAACCTTTCAGCAACCATAAGTAACCCCTTAGCAACCCTATATGAGATTACAACAACCTCACACCTTACATAACATAAGAAGCAGAGCTAACTTTAAAAGCAGCCAGAGCGAAGCCCTCCAGGATGTGATGAAGAGGCAGGCTGAGCTGTCGGCGATGTGGTTCCTGCTGCTTGGACCCAGAGACCAGCTCAAGGATGTTCTGTAAAAGGAAACACTAAAGCCTTAATCTAACCGTTCATATTCATATTGGAGGAGCTAAGGAGCCGGGGACGATGATAATCCCTATGAAGTAAGGAGCTCAAGAGCCAAGAAAAACCCCAAAACCACCGGTTAGTTAATCCCAAGACACAACAGTCGGATATTCTGAAGGTCTGTGTATGCGTGTGTGTGTGTTTTAACTTGAGGCCTTGACCAAAGCAGTGTTTTCTGGCAATTACAGGCTCGAACCATCAGGTGGGCTTGAAAGTTCATGAAGGTTTGTGGGTAGACGGTATGTTAGTTGAGATTGCGAGCTTGCGCGAGGCCTCCGGGGTCTGAGCTCCAGGTTCCTGATATCAAATGTGTTGTTTCGCAGAACTCGAAGCAACAAGTCTTAGACCAGGGGCCCACAACCAAAAAGCCTTCAAGCGAAAGCCAAACCCTAAACCCCACACCCTGAACCTCTTCACACTTTGGAAATGAAGGATTCAGTGGATCCTGCCCGCTGATGTCCAGTTACCTTTTCCTCTAATCCAGCCTGCATCAGTGCATGAACTTGCAACTGCTGCGTAAGCCCGAGGTCAAACAAGGACAGGTATATAGGTCCTAAACCCAAAGCCCAAAACTCTAGGCGTTTGGCCCCAGGAAAGCCGAGGGTGTAGTTTCTCTTAGGAGTCCACCGCGAGGCTAGGGCCTGACCCCGTGAGGACACTCACAGTGTTCCACCTCTTTTGAGGACTTTGGCTGTACCGTTGTGGAGGCCGCTGCTCCTCGATCCCCACTTTGTGGCTGGATCCGGGCCTGGAAGTGCCCGCAGTTTTGTGTATGAGCTTGAAGCTGGCTACTCTGCTGGTTTTGAGCATCCTTCTGGGAGATTCCCCGAGAGCGTCTCACTCGGGAGAGTCGGCGCCGACCGTCCTGCGAACCGGCTTGGCACAGGAGACTTCGGCGAAAGCGCACGGTCGGACGTACAACCCTGCGCTTCTGGTTGGGAGGAAGGCGTGTTGGCCTTCGCTCAGTCCAACGAGCGATTGCGAGCCTACGAGGACATCACGCAGGCAGTGCACTAGCTGTGCAAGCGAGTCGAAAACTGGGGGAAGCAATGGCGAGCAAAACCCCATGGACCTGCCAGACATGCGGCAACAAGGTGAAAAGCACAGCACAGTTTTGTGGACAGTGTGGCGGAGCATGGTCGTATTCCCAGCAGTCTTCCCAGCGACCATGGCAGGGCTGGGACAATACTGCATGGGAGCAGCAGCCGGCCCCTTCTTGGGAGCCGTCGGCCCCTACATCACCTCGTCAGCGTGCGGATGGCTGGCGAGGCGATGGAAAGGGAGCTGGAATCCTACAGAGGCCGCGCGGACGATCACCGCGCAGCAGAGGCAAGGGCAAAGGGCAGAAAGGAGGCAAGCATGGATGGGAAGGAAAGGGCGATGCCAAGGGCAAGGAGGCCGTGGCGTCAGCGACACTCCCTCAGGCCAGCCAGAAACAGTTGCTGACGGATGTCCCGGCTGCTCCGACTATGCCGAAGCCGAACATGCCAGGCTCGTCATCGCAGGCCGACAGCGGGGGCGAGAAATTGCCTCCACAGGTGATGGACCTTCTCCTTGCCCTGCAGTCCAAGAAGGAAGAGCTGCCACAGGAAGTACGAGCTCTTCTAGATACCCAGGAGGAAGCAGATCACAAGCATGCTGGAAGGCAGTTGCACCGCCTGGTTACTCAGCAGACGCAGGCACGCAAAGAACTCTCCGAGATCCGAAGGGCACGCAGCTCCTTCGTGCAGGAGTGGTCGGCCTACTTGGTGAAGCTGACGGAGCTGCTACAAAAGCAGCTTGTGACAAAGGACGCGGCCATGGCAAGCATGGCGGAGTCGGAGGAGAAGTGGATCCAGCAGCTGACTACGTCTACGCGGGAGATCAAGAAGCAATCTGCCGTGGGCCTGGAGAAAGCAGAGGAAATCTCCTCCGGGTCAGAGGACATGGAAGTACAAGAGACGGAAGTCTCCATCTCTGCAGCGCTGGATGCACAGAGGCAGGCGGCTATCGAGAAAAGCCGCCAGCAGGAGGGCCGCTTGATCGAGGCGCTGAAGTCAGCGTCGGAGGCGGCCGTACAGCAGGAGGACCAATACCGCGAGCGCACACCGAGGCGAAAGCGGTCGGACGCGTCGCATGCTGCAGAAGCAGCGGTGGACGCAGCTATGAAAGGCGGCACCAAGCCAGAAGAGCCGCCCCCTCATGGGGCCCAGTAAATTGCGGAAACGAGCTTACTGGGCCTATCACACATCCCGCTGCGGCCTTTACTTCCGTTTGCGGCGAGACGAACTATGTGAGCCGTTGGTGGGGTCCAATTCTGGCACTCTGCCTTGAATTCGAAGTCCGAGCACATGGCCTTCACCTGCCCTGCGGTGAAGCCCTTTTCGACCTCCCGGACTCTCGCGGTGACTACCCCTCGGTGCCCACCGTTGAATCTTACGCTGAGGACTATGATATGTACAGTGATGCTGTGGATCCCTTTTTCCGCATTGCCACCGGGTACCTGCGAGCTAGGGTCCACACGTCGATGCCGGCCTTCCGGTTTCCGATAGAGCGCATGGGGTTGCCTATCGTCGAGACTGATGTGGTCTGTGCGTCCGGGTGGACCCCTGCTTGCACCTCCCAGGGGCTTTGCAAGGGTGTCGTCTCAAAGGTAGGGCGTACACTGCTCGAGGAGCCTGATCAATGCTGCCTACCAAGCAGCATGCACCGACTACCACACATCATGCCCCTGCATGTTTCTTTTGCTGCGGAGAGCAGGGACCGTTTCCCTTGTCTCTGGCAACGACAACTCTGTGCCAATGTTGGTTCTCTCGTTCCCGTTTTGCTGCGGAGAAGTTGTGCTCCTCTCAGCCCTCCGAGTTCGGAGGTTCCCGGCCTTCCTAAAGGCTTCCTTTCGGGCCGTGATGCATTTATTCAGGCACCTGGTCACTGTTGCAAGGTCGGTTCCCTGTCGAGCCTTGGCAGTGATGCAGGTTTGCTTTCTGTGTCGGTTACCAGGGGTGATGTGCTTACATGTGTCAACTCCCCTCACCACACACGAGGTGGTCCCCGTCGACCTACGGTTTTGACCAAGACTGCCTTGCACCACCCCCCCACACCCAGGGCGGCAACAGGAAGGGCGGTTCCCTGTCGGACCCTACTGTTTGCTTGTCCCCTTTCCAGCCGGCAGGTGTGCCTTCATCCGAGTTGACCCGATCCAACGGCCTATGTGCTCAGGCACAAGGCGCCTGTCTCGCTCCCCTCGTGTGGGTCGAGCCTACCCTTCCCACCACAGTTGCGTACTTTGTCGCCGCACCGGTGCCGGTCGATCCGCCCAGCGTGCGTGGTGGCGGTTATGCTGTTCCAATGGCACAGGCTGGTGTTCTGTCCGAGGCAGACCTGGCCGACCAAGGCCGGCAATACACCGTCTTTGAATTTCAACGGTTGCCTAGGGTGCGAAATTTCGGGGCGACCTGGTCCCTTGAAGATGTTGTTGCAGACGCCATTCGTGCCGCCCCACCCACAGAGTGCGCTCCTTCAGGCGGCTGCAGCTGAAGAGGCAACACCCTACCACCAGGCAAATCCAGGCCTCTACCCGTGCATTGAGTTCCGGCCGGAAGCAACCAGCTGTGGTGCACAGTCCTCTTGTGGACCTCTGCCTCTATGGTTCCCTGACCACAGCTAGCAATGCCTTCCATTTCACGGTCCTCGCTGCAGGACTGCCCTGCCTAACTGAACCTGCACACAGGGACTGGACAGTTGCAGGTTTCTTCCATGCGGCAGTGAACTCTGTTCCAGCCCTTCCACAATCAGTTCAACTGCTGACTCATAGCATTGCAGGCTTGCCGGAGCCTCAATTTGTGCTTACAACCGCAGGTGCTCGCGCCGGTGCTGTTCCCATTGATTGTCGAGGCATTGGTGGGCCTGTCACTGTCGTCCAGGCCCCTGCTGGCACAGATATAGGGGACCTCTTACAGGACGTCCCGGAGCTTGCCGAGCTCGACTGCATCCAGGAGCTCCTGCTCCAGAGGGACCTCTTTCTCCAAGATTCGAGGGGTGGCATCCATGTCGCAATCCCCGACGAGGCAGCAGATCTGCAATGGCTACGCCTTGTTAGCCGGAGTGGTACCGGGGGTGTAGGCCAGCCGGCCCTCACCTCGACGTCAACCACCACTACTACCACAGAGATGCGAGGGGATGGTCCAACCACGGTGCGGCTCACTGCCACCGGGGCTGGCATGACACTGACCACAGTGCCCATTCCGCTCCCGCAATTTGACCTTGTCGAGGAACTGACCACCCTCATTGCTGCAATGGCTCGAGCAGGCAGGCTTCCGACCGACGCGCATGTGCTCATGGCAGCGGCTTGGCCTCTGCCAACCGGCGATCGCCATTTCAATGTGCCAATCCTGATTTACCAGCCAGGTGAGCATCAGCATGTAGTTTTCGACCCCTCTTTCGATGGGTCGCAAATACACAGCATGATAGTCCAGGAGGGCACCTTGCCAGAACAGGTTCTCTCTCACAACCAAGAGAGCCTCGGCTACGCGGCCTGGGTGAATGGCGCGCCGCAATCAGCCGTTAGGCGGCACCTGCGCACAGGAGATTTTGTTCAAATGCACCCAGGCAATGAGCGCGTTCGCTATCCTGTTGGCCATCCGGCGCAGCTCATTGGACATGTCAACCGCCTGCGGTGCCTCAGTGCGCCACTCCGGGTTCCGGCCTTTAACACACTTGCTATACGCGCAGCGCATCCTGGAGCCAATGCGGCGGCGCGCCAAGTACTGCTTAACGGCCTGGATAGGGCGCTCCGTGCGCGCATCGAAATTCTTGGACTCCCAGCCCGCACCAGGCAGAGCGTTGTTCTTCTGGAGCCAGCACGGGCCCCGCATATGTTGTGGCTTGATCTGCTGTCCTGTCCCACTGTTGAAGAGGCGGAGCCACACATCCGTGCGCTGGGCATCATACCGGCTGATGCGCGCGTACTTGACTCCAGGATTGAGACCCTTGCAGCGCAAGTGTTTGTCATAGCCACGAGGGAAATAAGGGGTATGACTTACACTGTGCCCAACCCGATCTACTTCGGAGCTCATACCTTGTTGCATCTACCCGCGGATGTACGGCCCCCCTTCCATCTTCTTCCGGTATATCTCACCGTGGTGCCCCCTTCCGAGGGATGGATTGATGGTGCAGGTCTTCTTGTCGCCCGGCCGATTTCCCGACCTGTGTCTCCTGCACTGCGTCAGCGCACTGAAAACCTTCCACCGCCTGTTGCCTCTCCACTGCCGCTGGGAGGTCTGCTGCAGCTTCCCCCGCGGTCATTTCCAGACAGGCGGCGAACCAGACAGAAGTCGCACCTCAGAACGTTCCAGCTGCCATTCCAATGACAGACTCAGGAGAGACTTCGGCTGCAGCCTCTCATGCTATGAGCGCTGAGACCATCCCCTCATCAGGTGGTACCTCTCTTGTTGCCATCCTGGACCCTCGAGTCTCTCAGCGGCGGCGCTGCAAACAAGCTTTTGACAAAGGCCTGATTGGACCGGGATGTCAGTGTGAGGCAGGTCAGGTCACATGCGCACACCCAAGGCTGCCAGCCGGCACGGCCAGCATCCCAACTCCCTTTGGCCGTAGGGCCCTTCTACCCGAGCACAAAGTCGCCCGGCTACCTAGGAAGACCCAGGGGTCTGACAATAAGGATGCAGAGAGTGCTAAGACCCCCCTGCACTGTCTTGACTCACTGCGGGCAGCTCTGCCCACCCTTGCCGACTGGGCTGACTGCTGGAATGTTACCCCGCCCTTCCGCGTTCGTGGTGCTGCAGGCGCGGCCCTGGCTGACAGACACGCGGCTGGACTCTGGCCCTCTTCTGAGCTGCTCCTTTTTACAGACGGCTCTTTCTTAGGCCCTGGCAAGCTTGGTTGGGCCGTCACTGTCTTTGAGCGATGCGATGATGGATACGGGGAGTGGTTGAACTTTCTGGGATACTTCAACGGCCCTCTCCAACCCTGGGCAGCTAAGGGTCTTTGTGGGACCGACGACAACATTGATGCCGAAACTGTTGCCTTTTGTGTCGCTCTCCTATGGGCCACATCTTGCCCTCCGGAGTTGCCCCTCAGCATCTGGACTGACTGCAAGGCGGTTCTTCAGGTTTCAACAGGTAGTGCCGACTGCCAGCGACTGGGAAACACTGCCAACCTTCTCGTTTGCTGCAGGCACCTCTTTCAAGCTCTCCACAGACGACCCTGTCCAGTTCGGGCCTACTGGGTGCCAGGTCATGCGGGCTTGCCGCCCAACGAGCTAACGGACGCTCTAGCAAAATATGCATGCACCGGGGCCACCCGGCCTCTGCCCTCAAAGGTCACTGCGCTCCTGAAGCACCCCTTGCTGGGATGGCTATGGCACTTCCTGTGGCCAGCCCCCTCTTTGCCGCCTCTTGCAGAGCTTGTCGATGGCAAATATGAAAAGCCAGATTCTGTCCCTGTAGCATGTGTGCCACGTGCCGTTGAGATACCGAGCAAGACAGCCAGCCGGCCCACCTTGCTTAACCTTTGCTCGTACAATGTGCAGTCCATGAAAGGGAAAAAGGATATCCTCCGCACGCTTTTTGCGACTCGGCACCAACATATCATTTTCTTTCAGGAAGTGCGCTCCAGCGAGGGTTTTTGCAATGCCTCGGACTTCTACGAGGTCCGCGGGCCCTCCCATAAGGGCAACTACGGCTGTGCGATATGGGTCGCTAGGTCTTCTCCCCTCGGGGCTGTTGATAAGCGGCATGTCAAGGTGTTACACGCCGAACCACGTCTACTCATTGTGAGGCTCAATGCGCCACGGTTGAGCTGCTACCTTGTCAGCGCGCATGCGCCCCATTCTGGGTGCCCCGCGCACGAAATTCGATCGTGGTGGGAGGCTGCTAGCTCTACTGTCAGTGCGCGATGCACGAGCCACCTCCCCACACTCTATGGCTGTGATGCCAATGCACAGCTTGGACAGATTGAGGGTCCGGGTATTGGTGCACATGCAGCCGATGCCGAGACTGTCGGGGGCGAAATGCTCCGCTACCACTGCGCTACACATGCACTCTGTGCTCCTGCGACATTCTCAGGAGCAAATGGCTGTGGTGAGACCTCTGACCCACTTGCCTACACCTGGGTCTCCCCCTCTGGAGGCCGATTTCGGCTTGACTACCTCCTACTCCCACAGAGCTTGCTTTCAGCCGTCCGATGCTGCAAGGTCTTTCACGACTTTGATGACGGAGGTCCTGATGACCACTTTCCGGTAACACTTTCACTTGCCATTGCTGGGCTGCCTGAGGGAACTCCAACCTACGAATATCCCCGCATCGGCATGCGCACTGTCAGTGATCTACAGGAATCCCGGGCGCACGTCAAAGAAGTCTGCCAGCAACTTGCAGCCCATCCCTGGCATGATAATGTCCATGCTCACGTTGCGGCCCTTGATCAGGCTATCTGGAGGTGTTGTCAGCGAGTGCCGGTTGTCGTCAAGCCGTGCCGGCCCTATATCAATGACCGTATCTGGGCACTGATCCGGCAGCGCAAGGAGCTTCTTAGCCAGATCCATTGTGAAGGCCAGCGCCGGGACAGGGCTAGACTTCTGCTGGGCTTTCGCACATTGTCCACGCGCACAGGGCAACGGCCCTTTGACGGTCTCCGGCTGTTGCAACATGCGCGCACCGTCGCCGCCGCTACGGCTGCGACAGAGAGCCTTATTGCGCAAAGGCGCGAGCTGCGCAGAGAACTTGCCCAGCACCTGCGGCAGGCTAAGGCCGAGTACATTGAAGGAGTAGTGCGGAGATTTGTCCAAGCTGCCAGCAAAGCAGACATGCGAGCCCTCTTTGATGCACTACGCTTCTTCCGGCCTGCGGGCAAAGGGGTCTTTAAGGGCTTCGGGCCACTTGCCGTTTTGCACGATGATAATGGTGACCCCGCCTGCACCCACAACCAGCAACAAGAGTTGCATAGACGACACTTCGAACAGCAGGAAGCGGGTCATATCATTGATAGGGACAGCCTCTGCAAGCTTGACACAACCAAGGTTCCCGCAGAAGGCTTCAGCTTGCAGGACCTCCCGACACTGCACCAGGTTGAGGTATGCCTCAGACAGGCAAAAGACGGGAAAGCACCCGGCCCCTCGGGTGTCCCCATCTGCGTCTGGAAAGCGTGTCCCGAAGAGTCAGCTGCAGCCCTTTTGCCCATCTTCCTCAAATCGCACGTGAGGTTGACTGAACCGATCCAATACAGGGGTGCCAAGCTCTCTGCCCTGTTCAAAAAGGCAGCTCCTACCCTTCCAGTGCGAGGACTGCGATGAGCGCTTTGCAACGCTACAGCAGGTCCGAGCGCACGGATGGAGCAAACACAGGAGTCAGACAGTGATTGCCCAGTTGGCGCCGGAACATACCTGTCCTGCCTGTTTACACAGGTTCTGGCGACGTGACCGAATGCTCACGCACTTGCACCACGACAAAGCCGTGTGCGGGCATTTTGTCCTCGCGGCATCGTCAGCTCGGGGTGCTCTTCCTGCAACTACCTCCTCCACTTCTCCCCTGCCAGCCACGCTCTCCCTACCAGCGACCAGGGTGCCTGGGCCGCTTCCTCGACCAGTCCAAGATCAGGTCTCAGGCGAGCAGTTGGTTAAGTTCCATCTTCTGCGACTACTCGGTACAGAGATTTGTGATGGAGAGTTTTTAGTTGCTGCACGGCGTGCCCTCTCAGAGTGGCAGCTTGCGAGCGACTGCACGCGTGACGCTGTTTTTGCGGCCCTCACGGCTGCACAGTCGAGCGCTTTTGAGGCCATTCTCCGAGCGGCAGGACTCGGCTAAAGGCCCTGTGGATTTTGCACTAGCCATTGTACAGATAATTAACTGTCCTGCCAATACGGCAGACCGACGTCGTAAGACTTGAACGTTGTCCGATCCGATCCGATCCCAAAACTCTAAACTCTAAGCCCCTACATCTCGGAGAGGGAGTGCAGTTCAACTGAAAAATAACTCCTAAATCTCCAATCCTCAAGTGCCAAGGATCTTCGGTGCTGCAAAGTGTGTGTCCTCGTGCTTGCAGTATGCGAGCTTCGGGATCATTGCCGAGGCTCTTCTTGCCGGTTTCTTGTTAAGGAGGTTAGTCTAACTTACCGGAAAAGGGATAGAGAGAGAGAGAGAGAGAGAGAGAGACAGAGAGAGCGATATGTATAATATATATATATGTATATATATATATATACATATGTATATGGTGCAGCGCCGCTAGTTTTTCGCCCCTCCCCCCCCGGGATTCGGAGTCCCTCTTGCCCTTGTGGGGTGGTTGTGGGAGTTTAGGTTAAGCTTTTCAGTTTTGGGCTTAAGGTTTAGGGATAAAAGGCTTCGAGTCGACAAGGGCTTAGGGAGGGTTTGGGGTGTAGGTTCGTTAGGGTTGACGGTTTATGTTCTGCTTTACGCTTGGATCCTGCATTGCGGCGGGGTTTAGGATTGGGTGTAGGGTTTAAAGTAGAGGTTGAGGTTAATAAAAGCAAGAGCACCGCGCGCTACTGCGCTACGTGATAGGGTTTATGGCTTGCGTAGGGCTTGCGTACGATCCTGGCCCTCTCTGTGACCCCTTGGCCGGCCCTCCAGCTGCAGCTCCAACCCCCCCGCCACCCACGACCAGACCATACCATTGGGGGGGAAAGCCAAACGCTTGACCATACATATGTAAATAAATAAATAAATAAATATATATATATATATACACATCTCTATGTGTATGTATATATATATATATACATGTATGTATCTCTCTCTCTCTCTCTCTCTCTCTCTCTCTCTCTCTCTCTCTTTGTATATGACCAATGTTTTCCGTGTCATGGCATCTTGCGACCTAAAACCGGCAGCGATATACAGCACAAAAACTTTTAGCCACGCTCAGCCAGAACTCGGGCTGCAGTCGCAGCAGGGTACTTAGAGGATCATGGGACTTAGTAAGTAGGTTATAATTGGGGTTATAAGTCCCCTAAGTGGGGTTATCCTAATTATAACCTACTTATAACCTTCTTTATTACGTCTCATGAGCCTTCAAGTAGGGGCATGGAAAGCCTTGGGTTCACGGTTTAACCTTACTACTTAGTGTTACTAGCCTAGGTTTTGCGGGGCGCAATATAGTATCATATGTTACAAAGTATGAAATCGTTCACTTCAAAATCTTCGTGGAGGGCCCGAGCGCAGGTGAAGAGTAGTCTCCGCAGCAGAGCCCGATTAGCAGGTTCGAAGTGCTCAATACCGTGTAGGGGAGGGGACACCGAGGGGGTTTTCGGTAACGTCGAAGTGGGAGGGTGGGTCACTGGGGAGGGGATAGAGAGGAGCGAGAGACGTTCCCGGCCGGAAGGAAAGCGGATCCTCAGACC